TCCTCTGATGACTCACACACAGCCAGGGCTGGGGCTCACGTCACCCAGCAGGCTGGCATCCTTGGTGTCTGAGGCGGCCCCCGTTCCCCAAGTGGCCCAGCCGCCCGCAGGGCACCCAGAGCCCAAGTCCCACAGCCCAGCCCACCCCCTGCTAGAGGGCTCAGTTCTTCTTTATAGAGGGGCTGGTTCTGAAGCAACTTAAGTAGAAGTGGAATAAGGTCCGAGAAAGCACAAACGTGGTAAGAAAGCTGATCTTTTAATCAGTTTAATGTATTTTTACAATAAAAATAAATTAGTCATACACAAAAATAGTTGTCACTTTTGCTGAAGAGAAAAACAGACTGTGTTTACTCATAATTCTCCCCCCACTCTCCACCTCCTTAAACAATAAGGTGGCACCACAGAGTGACGTGAGTCGCTGGACTGTTCAGTGGGTTCCCTGCTCCTGACTATACAGTTAGCCGACAGGGCAACCCAGAGCCCCCACTGCAGCCGTCCCAGCAGGGACCCCTGAGACACGCCCCACCTGCCCCTGCGAGTGGAGTCTGCCTCGTCCTCGTCCTTGGCGCTACTGCAGCCTCCAGCGACTCACTGCTGGTGACCCTGCTGAAGGAGGCAAGACAGGGAGAAGAGATGGAGCCGGCCATCATCTCTCCTTTTCCAAGTGTTTGGGTCACGACAAAGAGAGGGCCGGTTATGTGACCAAATACACTATTAAGATGGAAAGGTGGCAATCCAGACAGACCTGTTTCAGGTATAATGCCAGGGTTTGCAAAATCCACTGAGCAAGTCAAAAGCAGAGTAATTTATATTTGATCTTAAAACCCAAGGAGTTTGACTAATCAGTATACTAAATTGTAACTATGGACTTAGGATAAGACATTGCGTAGCAACTTTCTGGGAGGCTGGGTTAGTAAGATCAAATAATTTTACACAAATGTGGTTGCGTATGTAAATAAATACCTATAAGAACCATTTAAAATTAACATATTCTAAATAATAGAACTATTTTGGTGTAGTGACTCATTCTGCCAAGAGTTCAGAATACAAATTTCCTATAAACATCTTGTATTTACAAGAACAAATAATAAGTTATAACAAAGTATATCCTTCTGTCAAGCTGAACGGTGGGGCTCTGGGAGTCAGGGCAGGTGGGAGTCAGCGACTGCAGCGGACTGGCTTTCCCGTCCCTGCGACCAGGGCTCGCCACCTGGAAGAGGCTGAGAAAGCCAGCTGGAAGTCCCCCACTTCCCCATGGCCACTTTTCCTTAGCACGTGGAGGTCTCCACTGCCACCCCCTGCACAGAGCCAGGACTGTGGGATGGCTCAGGGAGGGGAGGGTTACTTTGCTCCCGCAGAGGTGCCAGAAAGCAAGGTGAGCTGAGAAAGAGAGATGGTATTAGAGGGTTCTAGTCTAGTTGAGGCTCTGCCACCATCAAGGTGTGTGGCCCTGGGCAAGGAACTGGCCATTGGGGACACTTGGTTACTCAGCTACGAAGCAGGACCGGTCAGGGCAGCTCTGACCGATTTGCTAGTGGTTCTCTCACGGCCACGTGTAGCTTGGGGCAGGGTGGGACACTGGATTTGAAACAGCAGACACAGAAGCAGGAAGTACGTGCGACCGCACTTGCCCCTGCAGACCTGGCGAATCACTTAAAGCTGTTCTACTTATAGAGCCACCCTAACTCAGACTTCAAAGGCATCCTGCCCCAGCTGGCTGCTTGAATCCCCTCTCCAGCATCCCTGACAAATGGCCCCTCAGCCTCTGCTGGGACCTCAGTGATAGGTCAGTTGCCACCCACCAGAGAGGCCTCTACTGTCTGAATGTTCTAACTTGCAGAAAGGCGGTTCTTCTGCAAGCATTAAAATCTGCCTCCCCATAGCTTATCTCCCGGTTCTAGGACAGCTGTCCCAAAGTCTCTTCTTCTGCAGGTTAAACATTCTCACAGAGTCCTTTGCCCTGTTTCTAACCACCTGCATCCTCATCAGGACCGGGTTTGCCTGAACGTCACACCATCGGTGTCTTCTGCAGCTCCCCCACAGTCGTAAGCAATGTGGTGTGACTTTCACTGCTGTTTTCTCCTTATGGAGCTTAAATGTTTTGTGTCTCTCAGATCTTTTTGGATCCAGAACCTGCTGCCTAAGCTGGTGGCTCTCCAATGTGCTGCTGCCTACGACTCCCATCGCTGAGGCGCTGTTTCCCACGCCAGCCGTGCGGCACCGGCCAAGCGTTGGCCCCTCCTGCCACGCTGACCTCGGCGCCTGCAGGTTTGATTATTAGGTCTGTTTAAGGTAAGTCCCGTTTCTTTGTACCACTTTTATTTGTGTCTTCTTCCACAGTAGAAAACCAGTATTTAAACTCTAAAATGGTCATATTTAAAAAAAGACTTTGGTTTAGAAATGTACTAGCCATACTAGTAATATCTGGATATCTTTCTCTGCCACACAATTTGATGAAAACAAATTAAGCTTGTGTTTCCAAATTTTTATCCATCCGTAAGGTCATTTGTTTTAAAGGAGAAAGTGCTGAATGCTAAACACTTTGAGGATCAGTAAATGACATATGCAAGGGAATGAAAAAGGAAAACTCAGAAGAACCCTGGACCGAACAAGTGAGCAAAGGGACAGCCGGCATGTTCAGAGTCCCTGCGCAGGGCAGGCGTCTGAGCGTCTAAGCGGAGGCAGACCTTGCTCCTCCGGGCTCTCCGCTCGCTGGTCAGAGGCACCGCAGATGCCTTCAACGAGCGGAGCTGACTTCCCCTAGCGGTGGGCCTTACAGCATTTCCTGTAGCGTGGTGTCTCGCTAGTCATGGAAGTCAATTTGAGAATGGGAAAAACTGACTTCATTAAATGGCCTTGGCTTAGGCTGTGAGAGGCACAGTTTCCTTTTCCAATAAGTAAAAGTGAAAAAGCAAACTATTTCTGTTTGGAGCTTTGTTGATGTTTGTGAGAAAAACATACAACAGCTTAAATTCGCCTAATTTTTCAAATCCACGGAAGGGAATGAGGCAATCCAGTACATGGAAGCAATAAAGTGGAGGCAGATGTAAATCTCTGTTTTGCACTGTGGCCAGTTAAGGGACATGGAGGAACCTGAGAAGGGGTGGCAGGTAGTGGAGAGGAGAGGGCGAAGTAACGAGGTGCAGGAAAGGGAGGGGAAGAAGAGTTTGCAGGGAGCGGTTATCACAGGTGAGCTCTCCTTAGACCCCGCCCCCAGGAAAGTCGTCACTGGAAACAGCAAAGGGCTTTATCGGATGTGTTGTGCTAAGGACAAAGGCATTTAGATGTGGACATGAAAAGCTAGGACATTAGTAACAATTGGATTTCTAAGACAAGTAAGTTGGTAAAACCAGTTCTAGTAATTTATGACCTTTCCAGAGATACATGACTCCCAAGACTGGCATGACTATTTGTTGGAGGAGAAAACTCCCTAACTTTAGGCTTCTCACCCCCCTCTACCCTCTGGCAGTCACAAGGTTGATCCACTGGCTCCTGCCCAATTCTACAACTGGCAGGATGGCCAATCTCGTGGAAGGGTCACTGTGCTTTTAAAGAATTGGTGGGTGACATCTGGGAGCCACGGGACACTGTCAGATGTCAAAGAGACAAAGCCGTCATCAGCTTGCCTGCTGTGATAATCCTGAGGAGGAAGGACCTGGGACACCACCTGCTGCGTGGCAGAGAAGCCCCGTTTAGGACAGGGAGCACAGTCACGAGCGGTGGCCCTACCTGGACTGTCAGCTTGGGTGCCACAAAGTTTCTTCTTAAACTGAGCTGAAATCAGCTTTCCTGCTCCCTGCTCAGTGACCCTGACCTGCCCTCCCACAGGCAAAGACCGCCTCTTCCATGGACCCCTCCAAGTGACTGGCTTGCTCAGTGAGATCTGAGAGCAGCTGCCTCCAGGAAAAACTCCCCTGTGACTAGAAGCGAAAGCCAGCAGTGAAGGGAGAAGGGTGGGCACTGGGTGGAGTCACCCATATGCTTGGTGGGCGCCAGCAGCTGGGCCTCTTCCTGCCTGCTTCTCTGCACGGGTCCCGGAAGGACCAGGAGAGGTGGGGGTGCCTCTGAGAAGTGGTGGCTGGGGCTCCCAGGAAGAGGACAGCCACAGAAAGGCCATGAGGGTTTCTGAAAGCTCAAGGACAGTGGGAACCTAACGGAGTGTGTCATGCCTGGCTGGCAATACTGGCTCCAAAGGTGCAAGTGATCATCTAAACAGCAGATTTCCGGCAGGGGCATCCCGCCTTTCGGGTCTCTGGGCTACACTGGAAGAAGAAGAGTTGTTTTGGGCCACACATCAAATACATAAACACTAACAAAGACTGATGAGTAAAAAAAAACATTTTAAGTAAATGTACAATTTTGTGCTGGGCCGCATTCCTAGCCATCCTGGGCCGCATGCAGCCCGAGGGCTGGGGCTGGACACCCCTGGAAAGGGCTCATGGGAGAAAGTCAATTGCTAAGGCTTGCTTTAAATGGGAAATAGGCTCAGGGCCGTGGCACTAAATAAGGTAAATTTTCTGTAAGCTTACACTTTGTTTAGCCTGATATTTTTCTTAATGGGTGAATTAGTGGATTTTTTATATAGTTCACTTCTCAGTAGCCCCAGCACCCTGCCCCAGCCTCTGGAACTACAGAGTTGGGAGCAGTGAGTGAAGAGGACCCTGCGTTGCGGCCCGGGTCCGCAGCCCCCTCCCTTCGGTCTCAGTGCGCATTCCGGGAGGAGGGGCACGTGGCTGGGAGTCACTGAGGGAGGGAGGGAGGGAGAATTTGAAGGCATAGAGGGAAATCCATAAATCAAACCAGAAAGACCAAAGGCAGATTCTTTCTCATATAAACATAATGTTTTTGCCGAGATGGGTTGGGTGGACTTTCCACGGGGTGGTGTGTGGGGAACAGCCGGGGGTGGGGGGTGGGGGGATGCTGGCTGAGGAATGCCAGCCGCTCACAGCTCTGGAAGTCTGCACCTAAGGGAACCTGACCTGCGGTTCCAGGGGAAATAACTCACTGGGGAGTGAAATCAGCATTTCAGGTGATCACCTTGATACCCAATGGCTTTATGGTGTCCCGGACAGCTCCTTCAAGACAGCGTTTAACAAAGCCTGCAGGAGGCCTGTGGCCAGGCTCTGTGACCTTGTGGGGGAGGGGTACCCGGAAGCAGACTTCTGAAACTCCTGCTGTTGGGGTGACATTTTGACCTTTGGCTGCGGGGGTGGGGGGGGGTGTGGAGATGCAAAGGCCTGGGCTTTATTTGCTGATTGGGAAACTTGTCAGCCTCTTGGCCTGAAATGAAGCTGCATCCTGGAGACCTGAGACTTCTGGACTAGCCTCAGGCCGAGGGTTTGTGGTCAGATGATGGCGTTGGGACTCAGCTCTGCCACTGAACAGTAAATGTGCTTGGCAGGTCAATGAGTCTCAGTTTCCTTGTCAGTAAAATGAGGACAATGACTCATTTCCTGCCCCCCTTCTGGGATGTGGTGAGCCGCTTATGGGGTAATACAACTGTGAATATAACTGAAACAATAAAGCACTACAGTGACATGAGATACCTGTGTCATCAGGCAGGAAAACAGCCTAATGTCTTTGAGACTGAAGACAGGCACAGTCGGGCTGAGGTAACAGAGGGAGGCAGGCATCTCAGAGACTCCGTGTGGGGCCCCGGGGTAGGGGCCGCTGACTCTGGAGAGGCCAGCAGCACCAGGGAGGAGGCAGTGCCCACCCACTCAGGGTGCTCACTGACTCAGAAAGTGCCAGGAGGGAGTTGGCTGAGAGCTGCCCTAACGCCTGCCCCACTGCTTGGTTTTCGCAGAGTGTGTTAGTGGGTGCCAGGCTTCCCGAGGAGGGATCGTCAGTTTGCGTGATGCTCATGGCCAAGGCAGCTCTGCTCCCGGCACCGCGTGCACACTTTATGAAGGTGGGGCCGGAGACCCATCGGCTGGCAGCACCCTGGGCCAGGGTGCCCCAGGAGGAGCAGCAGCCCGCCGGTCACCCTGCTCACAGACTCGCTGCTCAGCCGGCGAGTGGGTGGGTGCAGGGTGTTATCTGCTTCCCAAGAAGCCCGGGTGCCTGTTGGCCACTCGAGTGCAGGAGGCACAGCAGGCAGTCTTGTAGTAGTTGTAGACGCAGAGGCGGGCCTGCACCACCACGTTGCAGTTGTAGTACCTGTCCTTGCAGCTTTCGTCTGGAGCAGGGAGAACAAAATGCCGTGAACACAGGGACAGCAACCGCGGGGAAGACAGTGCGCAGCGAGGGCGCTGGGCCCGGCCCTGCTGCCCATCCCAGACTACAGGCTAGACTAAAGCTTGCATTTTTCTTTTTTCTTTAAACATGACACTGACATCTCACTGCCCTGACTTGAGGATGATGGAACCAAGTCTCTGAATGCATTCCCATTGTAATCAGCCTACATTTAAGTTTACCTTTTGTGGGTGGCGATCCAAGCCACCCACAAAATGCATCATCCCCAAAGTACTTTGACCCCTGAACTCTATGACTATGCACAAGGTCACAGAGACACCGAGGTGGGTGTGGCATTTTCACACTAGAGAAGTTGACTGAGCTTAACAGAGGTGAATCTTTACTCCAAGGCGGGGGGATCCCTACTTACCGACGTCAGGGACACAGTCCTGAGGGTTACATGATTCTTTCTCTTCTGGTTTCAGCTGAGGGTCACAGAGATTACTGAGGGTCATGTCGTCTGACAGGCAACGCACTTCACGGACCCGGAAGCCCCCCTGGCAGCTCTTGGAGCACTGTGTGGGGACACAGGGAGACAGTCAGATTTCTTGGCAGCCTATTAGCCCAGCATACTGCAGAGGGCAGATATGGGATAATTTCCAACATCTCCAAAAGGAGACAGAATATTCAAACAAACTCTTACGCAGCTACCAGCCAGTTTCAACACCTACAACTCGTGGCAAGTTGTGTCCCACCTACATCCTGCCCAAGTCCGCCCCTCGAATTCTTGCTGTTATTATTTCTGATCTTCACCCAAGGACATACTTACTGATTTTAGAGAGGAGGTAGGGAGAAGGCAGGAAGAGAAACACCAGTTGATTGCCTCTCTCTCATACACACCCCAATAAGAGACAATCAAACCCATAACACAGGCATGTTCCCTGACTGGGAATAAAACCCGTGACCTTTTGGTTTACAGGACGATGCTCCAACCAACTGAGCCATACCAGCCAAGGCACCCCTTGGGCCATCGTGAAGCAAATCTAGACATCATCTCATGTCTTCCATAGTATTTCAGTTTGTAGTTCTAAAGCACAAGGACTCTATAAAAATTACCACTATACCACTATTACATTGAGAAATTACCAATATGTAGTTCTGTATTATTTTTAAATACAGGGGTGGGCAAAGGTAGGTTTATAGTTGTTTGTATAGAAAATAATGCAATAATTAATAAATAATAATACAAGGAAAAACTCTTCATGTGCCCACCCCTATAGATATTCAGTGTTCCTATTTTCACTTGTCTTGTGAATCTAATAGATTTTTGTAATATAGTTTTTTAAAAATTAGGATCCACATCAGGTCTGCGCACACGACTTTTAACCCATACATCCCCCTCTTCTCTGCTTCCTCCCCCTGCACCGAGTTATGTTGTCCGGGAGAGCCTCCCACTGTCAGGATTTTGCTGACTGCATCCATGGTACAGCTGAACGTGGTCTTCTGTCTTCGGTGTTTCCTGCAAATTGGAAATTGGAGCTAGAAGAGGCCTCGACAAGTGCAGGTTTGACTTTTTTTGTGGTGAGACCACTTCATAGGATGTGCTTGACTGTCTCTCTTGGGGGACATCATCAATCACTGATGAGCAGGGCCCAGATGCTTTAGTTCATTCGAGGTTGAGAAGTTGGAATAACGTTCTATCAAATCTTCTTTTCCTAGCTGGAATCTTTTCTAAAGGTTCCCCACCCTCAGCCATGCCCTGCACACTCACTCTTTACTGACCTAGAGGTGAATAATGAGTTGGTTGCCGCTACATCCTCTAATGGAGACCTGTCAGTCTCTTATAGTTATAAACGGGTGGATTGAGCACATGGGATGTGTCTCCGTCTGTGGCAGTTGTTATTTTTCCTGCTGCTCACTGGTGCCCATCAGTGGCTGGCAGGAGCCTCTAAAAGTTGGTTCTTAAGCCCTTTGGCCAGAAACTCAGGTGCCTTTGAGAACTTCTTTGTTGCCATTATAAAAAGATATCTAATTTATATGTATATGGTCCCAGACCTGGAGTCAGCCATTTATCTAAGAACTCCTGGTTCCTCTAGTGGACGGGGTTCTGTTGGAACCACATTCTGGCTGATAGGTGTGCCCTGTGCTGCTGGAATGCTCGTTGTCTCCAGGCTCTTTCAGTGGATAAAAGTAGGGAAGTAAGATAGATTAATTTATGAGCTCACACTGATGTTTCTAATTCAAATTCAGGGCAACAGGATTTGCTCTTAAATGTCACCTGTCTTTTTTATCTATATCTTTTCTCACCTAAGTTGAGAGCTCTGTTTCTCAAGGAAACTGGGTATAATGGAGTCATACTATTGTGTTATCACACGCATGTATTTATCATCATAGTACGATAAAGTATATTACTCGTTCATCCCTCCTTGTACGCCCAGCTGTCTCGGACCACAGCACATCCCTGCCACTCAGAAAGTGGTTGCTGCAGGCAGCGTCGGCGTTTTCCTGCAGCTCCTTTATTCTTCGGGATGCAGAGTCGAAGTGCTGCGTGCAGTAGTACTGAGGCCACCAACTGAGTATATACTGAGGTTAATTTGTTTTATCTCATTTCTCCATGATTAGGGGTTGTTTTTCTAAATTTCATTTCATTTGATAATGATATAAAGTGTTTACTTAGTTCTAAACTCAACTTTAAACTCACTCTTATAAAACAAGGCACGTTCAGAGACATCCAGGTTCCCTCACAGTCTTGGTCATTATCATTCACGCCCAGGTCCCATCACACAGGACAGGTCCCTCCTGCTGTTATTTGCAGTGAGACGCAGCCCACCGAGTTCCCTGGCGCTCATTGATCAGGCGTCTGTCCCTACAGTTCTGCCTTTTACAGAACATTACATAAAGGAAATCATACCATTTGCAGCTTTTGGGGTCTTTCCTCACTTAGGAAAATTCATGTGAAGTTCGTCCATGGTGTTCAGGCGCCAATCGCTCATTCGTTTCGCTGCTGAGCAGCGTCGTCGCCAGAGGCTCCGCCTTGACCTGCGGAGGGACCTCGGGGCCGCTTCCGGCCGGGCGTTTTCAGAGTTTGTCTCCTGTGATGGGACCTGGCGTGTCTGGCCCTTTCTAGACTCTCCAGACCAAGTGGGGGAAGAAAGTAGCAGTTGGTTTGTGTGTTCTCAGGGCCTTGGCTGACATCAAAGTAATTCAGTTCCATTTTCCGGACGTTGACAGCACGGCCCTGAACCTGGGCACCCCGTCCTTCCCGCTGCCTCTGGGGTATGGCTCGCCACGCAGCTCTCCCTGTTTCTTTTCAGTGTTTATTCATATACTTTATAAGCAAAATCCCTTTTATCGCCTTTGAGTGGTTTTGAGAAAGGCTCTGGCCTCCACCCCGACTCACCGCAGCCGCAGGTGGAGGTCAGCAATGCGGCGGAGCAGAGCGAGCGCCGCCCCGAGGGTCCGCAGTGAGGAGAGCGGCCAGTGCCTCGAGCAGCCACCGCACTGGCGCCCTGAGGGGGCTTTCTGTTTTAGGAGGTTTCTTGAAAATAAACTCTCTTCTACTTGAAAAAAGGGGGGTGGTGGTTTACCACTATTTCCATGCTTTCCCACTTCATTCCTAACAACCTATTATTTCTGTATCTGCTGTGTCTCTGTCTCCCACTCTCTGCTTCTCATCGCTTCCACACTGCCCTCTGCCTTGCAGAAAGAGTCTGAGATGGCTTCAGAAATGCTTCGAGGGCTACAAGGTATAAAGAAAGTGGGAAAACTGGTGTAAAAAGAGGACAGAAGTAGGAAAACTCCACTTTATAAGGTCTGGTAAACTCTGTCTTAGAGATGGCCCACATTTTAGCTCTGAGTTTCCCAGCAGCCAATTCAAAGAGAAAAACAGGACCAGTCCCACAGTGCGCCCCCAGGACGCCTGCATCCAACTCTCCTGAGGAGCTTGTTCGAAACTCACACTCCTTGGTGCACCCAGAATTGATCTTTTCTAACAAGATCCCAGCTGATTTTTCTGCATGCTGAAACGTGAGAGTCACTGCTTTATGCCTCCGCAGTTTAGAGATCAAGATGGTCCCTGCCTCAGGCTCCATCCACCGAGCAGGCTGTGTCTGGGGCGCCCCGACAGTGACCAACTGGACTGATGGCTGTAGGGAATGCACTCGAGGGCTGAGCCCAGTGCCTGGCACCTGGTAGGTGGCCCAGGTGCATGTGAGGGAGGAAAGCAGGAGACCGATATATGAATGCAATCTCCCTCAACAACCTCCTGACTTACTGATGCAGACCCGGGCTTATGGGGTTCACCACACTGTGGATGAGGCATGAGACATTCACACAGACTACCAAGTCCTGTGGAGGAAAAGGGTGAGCGTGGCTACACTCTCAAGGGGAGCAAAAGCCACTGCCTCCGCCATGACAGGCCTTTATTTTTTTTCTGGGCACATTACAGGATGGTCCTCATTTACTATGCACAGGTTCATTTTAGGTGGTTACCTTTTACAGAAAACAAAGGAGCTGATGCTGCTAATCACATCACAGAAGAAGGATATTTTCAAATGAAAAGGGAAAAGTAGTTGAACTAGTTATACTCGTCCTTAGAAGGTTTAGCATGGATTTTAGGAAATTACTTTGCAGTAAACGTTTGCTGCCTCAATTCAGGGTGAGGGAGTTTTAGCAAAAGCAAGTCTCAAAGCAGCCTAGGCACATTGCAGGCCTGATTACCCATGGGAGAACCTATCCGTGGGCGTGGGTCCTATGCATCTCTGAGTAGGAGCTGGGCCCACGCCAGGCAGAACGGTCCCCTACAACTTACCATGCTCCATTCTGTGTTGAACCACTTGGCCCCACAAGGCTTGAGGTGGCACGACTGCTGGCTGGGGGGTCTCTCCAGGAAAGAGCATTCATAGGAGTCCAGCACTTCGAAGGCATCTGCATTCTTCCTAACACAAATCACCTCCCGCTGTTGGGTCCCGCTCCCACACTCTATGGAGCACTGAAGAAAGAAGCAGAGAAAGATGGTGTCACATCATGGGAAGGAGATGAGAAGTACCATCCGTCAAAGTGCATTTGTGCATGCTTTCTGTCACCCATCCAGTGAGGCAGAGCCCCAGAGCCCCAAGCCTCTGTCCTTCGGTGGGTCACTGTCTGAAGACCAGGTGAGAGTGGAAGTGTCCGTTCCGATGCCAGTGAGAATAAATATGATCCAGACACACACACAGACCAGAGACTGTGAAAGACCCCTCAGAGCTAAGATGGTCTAAAGGTGAATTAAACCCGGAATTGACAGGGGAGAAAGGAAATATCTGGGCACGAGTGATAGACTTGGTGGGAAACCTTATGAATAAGAGTTGGGCCATTAACACCTTGCCTCTGGAGTGGAAAAGATTCCCCAAGTTCTACAGGTCTTCTTCCCTTAGGCCGGCTTTCTCCACATGCTTCAGCACAGCCGCTGCTGGCGCCTGGGCTCACTCCTTGCTAGGGAGTTTCTTCCTTTAAGTCCACCAAAGTCTCAGGGAAGGACTCTGCTTGATGTGGCTCCGATCACATGCCCATCCTGGACTAGTCACTGAGACCAGGCTGGGGGTGTTCAAGACGCCAACTCTCATTCAAAGCACGTGGCAGAAAGGACACATTTATTTTTATATTCTGAAGTCAAATGTTTAAGACTTACGCTTCAATAAATAAGCACTATCTATTTTATTTTCTTTAGGGATGATGTCAAATTTCCCAGGCAATGGGGTGCCAGTAGGCTCCACCATTTTTACAAATCTAGAGCCAAAACTCTGTCCACATCCAATCATGTTCTGATCCTTTTGGACAACAGGGCAATGAATTCCACATTTCTCATCTTAGCAGCCTCTTCTGATCTTTACAACACAGGCTGCTTTGACCTGGATTCACACCACTCTGTTCTCTGAGCTCAGGTCTAGAGTCCAAAGGAGGCCCACAGGCAAAAGGACCCCAAACCCTGCTCTCCCTCCTCCTCTGAGACGGGTAGGAGTTGAAGTGCACCCCTGTCTTCACCGCAAGTGATGTTATCATTTCAGGTAGGACTGAACTGTTGCTTCAGTTCCCATGGATATTTGTCATCCTATAGGTACATTCAACTTCTGCGTTATCTTTGGGGTTTAGGTCCTAGGTGTTTCATGACCAGTGCAGAGATAGAAACAGCCGGCAGCAAAAGCAATAGGCGTGGAAGAAAGGGAACCAGTATTTATTAAGTACCTCCCATGTCCCAAGCAATGGGCATCCCCCATGTGCGTAGTATCTCGTGAAATCCCAACAACGTCCTTAGGAAGTTGGTGTTATTATATTCACGTTTGCATGAGGAAACAGGTTCAGAGAGGTTAAATTAGTTGCCCCAAGTCAGAGAACTAAGGAGAAGTAGAGCTGGGAGCAGTTATTAAGTATCAAGTATACAGGGTAGTATTGGACACATATTTGAGTTTTCTTTCTTAATTTCTGTATTTTATAGTTTGCATTATAGAACACTAAAGGAAATTTGAGAAAAAAACATTTCCCAGTGTTGTTTTCTATAATTTGAAGTGGTTGAGACCATAGGATTCATAGATTTCCATGTTTTTCACTTGCAACTATACTGATGGGCTTTCCACATCTTCCTAGTGATCATTGTTGTTACATAATATTTTAATGAGCTATGCTATACCATAATACCCTTCACCACCCTGCTGTCATGAACATTTCTGTTGAAAACCCTTTTTTCTTCTGTTAATTATTTCCTTAGAATGAATCCCCATCAGTGGGGTGACTGGGTTAAGGCAAATGAACATTTTTATGGTTCTTGACTTTTACTGCCAGAGGGGTTGTATCAATTTACAAGGACAAGGCAGTCCATTTTTTTCAGGGTCTATGTTTAAAGCTGCTTAAAAGAAGTAAAATTGTATATGGAGCCAGAGGTCCTGATAATGTGTAAATCATGACCAATAGCCAAAAAGTCCTTGGAGGAGCAGCCAGCTCTGGGAGCCAAATGCTTAGTGGTCCAAGTACTCAAAATACTGATGGTAATCATAACAACAACAGCAACAAAAACCCCAAAATAAAAAAAAAAACCCAGAGGGAATGATCTGTTCCACATTTTCTTTATTTTTAAACAATATTTATTTATTTATTTATTTATTTATTTATTTATTTATTTTTAGGCAGAGGGGAAGGGAGGGAGAAAGAGAAGGAGAGAAACATGAATGTGTGGTTGCTTCTCACATGCTCCCTACTGGGGACCTGGCCTGCAACCCAGGCATGTGCCCTGACTGAGAATCAAACCAGCGACCCTTTGGTTCACAGGCTGGCACCCAATCCACTGAGCCACACCAACAAGGACCTTTTCCACATTTTCTTAGTAAGTTTGTGTTCAATTTTGAAATGATGAGGAAAAAGTTAATTGATCAATTAGGTACTTTATTAAAGTATTCAGTATTAGCTGTTCTTTATAATGAACAACCTCACTTTTTCTATTTTGCTTCTTTATTTTCCCAGCTTTATTGATGTATAATTGACAGATAAAATTGTAATATATTTAAATCGATGATTTGGTGTATATGTGAGGGATGGCCCCCAAAACTCAGAATTTATTTATAAAAATTTGTGTATTTATTCTTATATGTTTCAACTTCAGTCACCTTCAAAGTACTCTCCATTTGATGCAATGCACCTACCGAGATGTTTCTTCCACTGATCAAAACAGTTTTTGAACTCATCAATTTTGATCCCTTTTTGTGCTTCTGTCATTTTTTGTTTCACCTCTTCCACATTGGCAAAACTTTCTCTCTGAGGACATTTTTCATGGGGAAACAAAAATGTTGCGTGGGGCAAGATCGGGTGAATAGGCAGGGGTGGGACAGGAGGGTCATGCCTTTTCGGGTCAAAAACCGCTTAACACCCAGCACAGTGCGGGCAGGTGTGCTCATAAATCACCCATCGTGAAATGGGCAAACACGTTGAGTCTTCAAAAAAAATTCACTGAAGCCAAATGCAGCTTCTCACAACAGTGCCAGCTGGCACACTGACACAGATAGGTTCCTAGAACACTCGCCCAGTGTGGGGGACATGTATAAAAAGGGACTTGCCCTCCAGAACATAATTCCGTTTTGGGGGGGTCCTCCCTCATGCATAGTAAAAGGATTCCCACCATTGAGTTAATGCATACTTATCTTTTTCTTTGGTGTGATCATTTAAGTTCTACTCTGATAGCAAATTTCAGTTGTTCAGTATAGTGTTATGAACTATAGTCACACCAAAGTATAGTCACTATGGTATATATTAGATCTTCAGACCTTATTCATTTTATAACTGTAAGTTTTACCCACCTCTCCCCATTTTCTCTACCCCAGCCCCTGGAAATTATCATTCTCCTCTCTGAGTCTGGCTTATTTAGATTCCACAAATAATTTAATCCATGCAGTATTTATCTTTCTCTGCCTTATTTCACTTAGCGTAACAGCATTCCTCCCGTGACGAGGTTCATTCAGGTTGTTATAAAAGGCAGGATTTACCTTTTTTAAAGGTTGAATAATATTCCTATACATATTTTCTTATCCACTCATCTGTCAATGGACACTGAGATTGTTTCCATACCATGGTGAAGTGTGAATAACATGGCTTTGAACATAGGGGCACAGAAATGTCTTTGAGATAATGATTTCATTTCCTTTGGATATGTATCCAGAAGTAGGATTGTTGGCTCATATCTATTTCTGCTTCTGATACTCAGATACAGACAAACTGGCTTTACTAACAATAATAATAGCAGTAGCTATGATTTATTATATAGTTATTGTATGTAAGGTACTGTGATACATACTTAATATACATTACTTCATTTCTTCTAAAATAACTACTAAGATGCTGTCACTACCAACGTTTTATAGACAAGGAAACCATGCTGGACCATGAACTTTCTGAACACAGGGATATTTGTCTTGCTCATTGATGTATCCCGATCACTTAGAAGAGAACATAGGGACTTCTGGCCAAGATGAAGGCATAGGTAGACACACTGTGCCTCCTCGCACAACCAAAAGAAGGACAACAACAAATTTAAAAACAAAAAACAACCAGAAGTGACAGAAAATTGAACTGTATGGAAGTCCAACAACTAAGGAGTTAAAGAAGACTGACAGTGTTCAGAGGGGAGAGGGGAGGGAATTTCAGGGGAAAAGGGGAAGGGTTTACAGGAATGAGTATAAAGAACACATGGATAAAAAACTAGGAGCAGGTGGAAATGGGAGGTAGGGGAGGGCTAGGTGGGTGGGCTGGGATGGGAGTAAAAGATAGAAAATTGTATTGTAATAACAATTAAAATAAAAAAAACCCCATTCATCCAGACTGGTAGGAGGGGTGGAGAACTGGGTGGAGAGGACTTGCAGTGAGGCAGTGGATTGCAGACTGGGAGGTCACACTTTCACGTGCAGATAAACTGGGAGGAACAACTGGGGAATGAGGCAGACCATGTAACCCACGGTTCCAACTCGGGGAAATAAAGCCTCAATCCTCTGACTGAAAACACCTGTGGGGGTCAAGGTGGCAGGAGAAGCCCTTAGCCTCACAGGAGAGTTCATTGGAGAGACCCACAGGGTCCTAGAACGTACACAAACGCACCCACCCAGGAATCAGCAGTTTGCTTGGGGGAAGTGGCAGATGTGACTGAAATCTGGCAGAGAGCAGAAGCAGCAGCATTGTTCCCTCTTGGACCCCTGCCCCACATACAGCATCAAAACCCAGTGACGTGGGTTACCCCACCCTGGTGAACACCAAGGCTCTGCCCCTTAATATATAACAGGTTTCCTGAGACAAAAAAAATGGCCCAAATGAAAGAACAGACCAAAGCTCCGGCAAAAATATAACTGAGTGACAAAAAGATAGGCAACTTATCAGATGCACAGTTCAAAACGCTGGTAATCAGGAAGCTCACAGAATTGGTTGAGTATGGCTCCAAAATCGAGGAAAAAATGAAGGCTATGAAAAGTGAAATACAGGAAAATGTACAGAGAACCCACAGTGAAGGGAAGGAAACTGGGACTCAAGTCAACAGTTTGGAGCAGAAGGAAGAAAGAAATATTCAAACAGGACAGAATGAAGAAACAAAAATTCAAAAAAATGAGGAGAGACTTAGGAACCTCCAGGACAACTTTAAATGTTCCAACATCTGAATCATAGGGGTGCCAGAAGGAGAAGAGGAAGAGCAAGACATTGAAAACTTATTTGAAAACATAATGAAGGAGAACTCCCCCAATCTGGCAAAGGAAATAGACTTTCAGGAAGTCCAGGAAGCTTAGAGAGTCCCAAACAAGTTGGACCCAAGGAGGAACACACCAAGGCACATCATAATTACATTAGCCAAGATTAGAGGTAAGGAGAGAATCTGAAAAGCATCAAGAGAAAAGGAGACAGTTACCTACAAAGGAGTGCCCATAAGACTATAAGCTGATTTCTCAAAAGAAGTCTCACAGGCAAGAAGGGGCTGGAAAGAAGTATTTGAAGTCACGAAAGGCAAGGAAGGACCTACATCCAAGATGACTCTATCCAGGGGAGCTATCATTTAGAATAGAAGGGCAGATAAAGTGCTTCCCAGATAAGGTCAAGTTAGAGTTCATCATCACCTAGCCCTTATTATATGAAATGTTAAAGGGGCTTATCTAAGAAAATGAAGATAAAAAATATGAACAGTAAAATGACAACAAACTCACAATTATTAACAACCAAACCTAAAAAATATACACAAACAAAAGCAAACTAAGCAAACTAGAACAGGAACAGAACCACAGAAATGGAGATCACATGGAGTATTATCAGTGAGGGAGTGGGAGAGGGAGAGAGGGGGAAAAGGTACATAGAATAAGTAGCATAAATGGTAGGTAGAAAATAGACAGGGGTAGGTTAAGAATAGTATAAGAAATGGAGAAGCCAAAGAACTTATATGCATGACCCATGGACATGAACTAAAGGCAGGGAATGCAGGCGGGAGGGGATATGCAGGGTGGAGGGGAATAAACAGTGGGGGGGGGGAATGGGACAACTGTAATAGTGTAATCAATAAAATATATTAAAAAAGAGCATAGTAGGTGCTCAGTAAATACTGTTGTCTGAATGAGGCTCTCAAAACATAAGCAACTTCTTCAGAGTGATGGGTAACACAACTGAATTCAAACCCAGGACACACCAGGTCCAGGTTTTTCACCCCTCTGCTATGCTGCCTTTTACCAGGGGCAAGCAGATGCACCTAGTGTGGCCACTCACCTGACTCCAGCTCCCAGCAAACCACTCCACTTTGCCTGTGCAGGGCCCATTGTCGCACGGGGTGGCTTCCGCTGGCCGGTTGTTCCCACAGCCCTCCAGGGGCAGGCTGCTGACGTGGTGGGTCATGCACACCACCGAGCGTGTCCGCACTCCAGCCCCGCACTCTGCTGAGCACTGCGAGACAGAAGACGGGCATGTGAGAGGGAAGTCCTCACTGCGCAGGTCCCAAAGTCATTTTCAAATGCTACAAAGGAGGATCGAACACCTCGTTTCCCCACCAACTCTTTCCCCTAGAAATCTCTGACCACTTCTCATGCATGGCCCACTCCATCATGAGACATTAGTCTGGCAGATTCTCCTGGCCTTAGGTTTTCTGGGACTACCTATGTTCCTAATGCTCTGTCTCACTGGCGATTAACATGCTTCTATCTGTCAGACCACCAGTCCTGGCTTTTGCTTTTGAACATAAATCCATCAGAAGAAGAATGAGAACAGGAAAACCCGGGCACACATCTGCTTGCGGCCAGTGAGTCTGGGCTGGTCTGGGAAGGAGGGAAACTGGCATCTGTCACTCCACATCGCTGCCTCATATTTAAGAACAGGGTTCCAGTCCTGAAGGCCATAGCTGTAGCAATAGGTCAGAGGGCAGCCTGGTATAAAGGGAGAGCCTGGCCTGGGAACCAGCATATTAGTGTTAACATACCCACCAGCTGTGTGGCCTGGGGCAGGTGATCCAGACCCTCTCTGGCAAGCGTACCTGACAGCTGGCATGGAAACACATTCCTGTCAGGATTACAGGGAACGAATGGCATGTGAAGAGCAGGTGTTCAATGAGTGCATACAGCAGTTACTCAATAATGGCATGAGGGGCTTCAAAGGGTCAGGGCCAACATCCAAACTCTAAGGTAGAGAAACCACGGCTCCCAGGATTAAGCCTTCACTTAGAGCCACGTAACTGGTAGTGATGTCATTACGACAGTCTCCCTCCATCCACACTCAGGACCCTGTCGGCATTCCCCTGAGTCGCACCCCGCAGCTCCGTGAGCATTTCCCATCTGTCTCGAAATACTTTGGGATGTTGCCTTATTTTCAGGACATCTTCACGTGGGTGCCCCTCAGATACCTCATGTTTCACAGGTAAAATGATGGGACACCACCTTCATCACCATTCCCCTTCTTCCCCCGGGTTTTCCAGTTTGTGTTCAGATGTATGTCTGGGCTCAAAGTCTACTGCCCTTCTGCCTTCTGGCTCCCCACATCTGGCCAGCTAGCAGGTCCATAGACTCTAGCTTAGGCACATTTTTCTGTCTCATCCCTTCTGCCCATGTTCCCAGCACCGCTGACATTTCTTCCCCTGGACTGTGGCTGCAGCTTCTCACTTGGCATCTCCAGCTCTTCTGAGTCACTGGCTGCCAGGTGCTGGGCCAGCCAGGCTGAGGTCCCTCTGGTGCTACTCTATCCCAATGACACTCACTTTTGGACTTTCTGGACGGCATTAAATGTTTCCTAAGTAGAGCCCCAGTCAACCCGTCCTTCCAGACAAATTCTCTATTATACATCGGGAACACACTAGCTTCTTGGTAGGGGTTTCTACATTGCCATCAAGTGAACCAAAAAAATCATCGGGGCTGAACGGTTTGATATAATATGTGAAAGCCACCGACTGTCCTGGACAGGGCCAAGGCTCACTATGCCCGGGTCACACAAAGTGCTCCCGCGCCACCTCCCCGGTGTTCCTTCTGCCCTTCCCCAGGGCAGCCCGCGGCTGCTGTGGCTCAGCGCCAGGGCCATCTCCGCTGTGAAAACTGTCTTGATGCCCAGTGTAACATGCTCTTCCATCTTCAGAATTCTCATGACTTCTGTGTTCTGCTGTTGGCCTTTGCATTGTGGTTATTTGTGTCCTTTTTTTTTTTTTTTCATTAAAGAAGTAAGCTCAGGGTGGACAGAGACTATGACATCATCTTTAACTCATTCTCAGTCAGCACCTCACCTACGGGTGAGTCCCTGAATGTCAGTGCAACAAATAAATACCAACTCCGGCCCTCCCTCGTTCGCTTCTCATCTGTGACCAGCGGCTCTCAGGTCTGGAAGTGCCCTGAAGTGTGTGACGGCCAAAGCCTTCCAGGGGTTTCTGCTGGGTCTTTTCTTAAAAACAGAGTCAATGTTTGGTTTCTACCAACATTACCATTTTTAAATATAATTTTAAATAAAGTTGGGAAAAGGAAAAATACTAACTACCTTGCTTCCCTATCAAAATTTCTACTTCTGTTTTTGTAGCTTGCTGCCTCGTCTTATAAAATCGCAGCCCAGGAAGAGTGATCAGACCCTGACCCGGTGCTGCTGAGCTGGGCCTGGCTCCACAGGGAGGGGCTCTCCGGGGCCGAGGGTGGCGGCAGTTGGAGCCGGCCCCCAAACATGCTGCTTTGGCATATTAGTCATTTTGAGCTGAAGGCAATGAAGAAACAACAGATGCAAGAAGAGCTCTCCGCCTGCCCCTTTCCTGCCTAAAAGCAGGGCATATGTTTCCCAGGAGACAGGTGCCTCCCGGTTCCAGGAAGAAGAGTTCATTCCTATCGCTGATGGGGAACCAAGATTATTTTGCACAAACAAACTTTACTCAAGTAGCCCCTGTCTTCCATTGGTTTCTCCCTCTTACCTCTCAGCCACTTCCCTACAGTTTACTGCCCCCGGCCGCCCAAACCCCTGCCCCTCGTCTAGTCACTTCACAACTCACCACCCTGTGTTAAAATGGTGCACAGTCCCTCAAGTCTAACGGCTTCTTTGGGATTTTCACTTGTTTCCCGTGAAGCTCCTCCTGCCCCCATGATGCCGTGTCAAAAAAATAACATCAAATAAAATTTGTACACTTTTCTCCAGTGAATCTGGTTACGGTCAGCTCAATTTGCAGGCCTCTGTTACAGAACCTAAGAGGGTAGAGGAAGAATTTTCCTCCCTTACAGGCTCACAAATGCTTTTCATGATTTTTGTTTTATCTGCATTCTTCTTAGAAATCTGCTTTCCGAACCAAGTAATGTACATGCACCTTGGGAGAGTTTCCCCAGATCCCCATGTATTTAATTTAAAAGAAAAATGTTCAGGGGGATGTCGGTGTCCAGGGAGAGAACATTGGAAGGATGAGCCCCCAGCGGCTGCAGTGAAGAGCACAGCGCAGTTCCATCTAAAAAGAGCTACTCACACGGGACCTGGCCCGGGAGCCTCTCAGAAGAAGGGCCCCCCCGCCAGGCAACAGGGGCTGATGCTCGAAGCGAGGCATGGAAACACACCCCTCACTGTCTCTGAAGGATGTGCCTAAAAGAAGGACCAAACCCACATCAGAAAAGAACCTGATTTCTGAAAGAACAACAGGGCAGATGAAACACAGAGACACATGAAACTCCTAAGCAACGCTCTGGCGGGGACGGTCTCCTCGCTCTCGCGACAGTGGAATGCTAATCACAGCCCAGCTGGCCCGGAGGGACTATGGGCCCTAGTGACTACTCCTGAACTTCAGTTACATGCATCATCTTCCATACTTTAAAACACTCAATATCTTTACTTATTTTTTTCTCTCAGAAAACACCCTTAGAAATTAGGTACTACAGAATTGAGCTTGGTGATTCCCAAAAGTTTTTTTTTTTCTGTCGTGATTAAAAATTGCATGAGTGTTTAAACCTGCCATTTATTTGCAGAACTAAAAAGCAAATGATGCCTATGTCTGATAAGGCTCACCCTTGATTTAAAGTAGCTACAAGGATGTTTTTGAGATGAGTCACGTAGTCAGAAAAAACTACACATATAACCCTAGAGGTTTCAAGAGAAAGTTCAGATTGAGTTTACAACCTCCATTCATTTAGGCAGAGATCAATGAACTTTAAATTGGGCAAGAGGATACTCTTAGTATCCTGGGGCCGATTTCAACGCGCGCGCGTGTGTGTGTGTGTGTGTGTGTTGGGGGGTGGCCATACCACAAGTTATCCTCAGGTGACCAGCTGGGTGTCCCACAATTCAACTTGATCCTGACACACCTGACCTGGAGACAGCATCAGGTTCCACAGGTGAAGGCTCAGTCCTACACGACTGTCTCCACCCAAGCTTCAGCAGCCAACCTCAGGTTCAGGTGGTTCCCGTACTTCTGACCAACTGGCTAAATATCTGAGGTTTCTAGGACTCTCCTCTCAGTTTGATTGCTTTGCTAGAGCAGCTCACAGAAATCAGAGAAACATTTTACCAGTTTATGATACAAAGCTATAATTCAGGAACAGCCAGACAGAAGATATGCATATGGAAAGAAATGTGGGAAGGGGGCGGAGCTTCCAGGGTTACCAGCCCCTCCCATCTTCACATCTTCACTCTCTCGGAGGCTCTCTGAGCCTGGTCATTTTGGGTTTGACAGTGCCTTCACTACTTAGGCATGCTTGATCAAATCAATTACCAATGATCGATTCAGCCTCCAGACCCCAGCCCTTCCCTCGAGGTCCAAGGGTGGGACTGAAAATTCCAACCTTCTAAACACATACTTGGCACATTTGGGAGCCAGCCCCTACCCTTCAGTTATCTCATTAACGTAACAGAAGACATGTCTATCACTTTGAACACTACTGGAATTCAAGGGTCTGGGGAGCTGTGAGCCAGGAACTGTGCATGAATACCGAAGAGGCTTGATCATCCTAATGACCACATCTATATTTCTTGTAAATCATGATATTGCTCCCCCAGAAAGGGAGCAAAGGCAGGGCCCTCACCATTGCAATGTAACAAAGAACTTAATACAGGAGGCTGGATCCTTAAGTATAAACTTTAATCTCATTTTTTCTCCTCTTTCCCACTTGAGATCCTTAAAGGAAGCTGTGTCTCAATCATGCCTAGCTTATAATAGGTACTCAATATATGTTTATGCTTCGTAGTCTGAACTTCGTAGTTCAGACTAAAGTTTAACAAGGTTGTTTTTTTTCATTAAAAATTTTTACATAGCAATTTTAGAAAGAAAGACAAAAGAGGGACAGAGAGGGAGAAACATTGATTTATTGTGCATTCATTGGTTGATTCTTGTTTGTGCCCTGACTAGAGATTGGACCTGCAACCTTGGTGTATTAGGACAATGCTCTAACCAACTGAGATACCCAGCCAGGGCTAGACAAGGTTGATTGTTATAGACAGCCACTATCCATATGTGGAAGACGGCCATCAGCGGGTTATTCCCAGGGGCTGAACTTTCCCTAAGGCCAGCTCGTGGCTGGAAGGTCCAGTGTTCACGTGAAGCCAAAGAAGAATGAAGCAGCCCACAGGGAACCACCCCAGGGTGCCGGCCTTATCTGGGTCATGGTGTCAAATTGTATCCTTTAATGCTCACTCAGCAGTGGTACAGATGAGGAAATCGAGGGTTGAAGAGTCAAGAGCCTGCTCAAGGTCTGGTAAGAAAGAAGTCCTTGGGGAAAGGGGGCCAAAGGCAATGCCCCTCCTTAAACCCAATAGCACCCCTTCCCATTCATTTGCTCCAAAATAATCATGAACTTTCAGGGAAAATGATCTATTCTGGGGGCAAATAAAACAAAATTACTTATATTATAGCACCAAAATTACATGGATTAAAATGCCTTTTCCAAAAAAGCAAAAAAGTTCTCTAAGTGGAAGAATAAAAACACTCATCTATTGCTGTATTTGGGATTTTGAGACAAGGGTTAGACCCAGCAAGTACTTGTGTTGAAGCGCAGAGCAGAGCGGTCACTGGAGGGGAAGCAGCTCCCATGGGAGTCCTCATAAATTTCTCGCAGAGTGTTACCGTCCCACACAAACGTGGGAGGCACACAGAGGAACAAAGCACTGCAGTTTTTTCCACCATGTAGCTGCTCTTGTCTTTGTACACAGGGCATTCTGAGCCCAATGCCTTTTTCAGAGTGTGGCAAATGTAGACATGGAATTAAAAAATGGTAAAGAATCAGTGCAATAAAAGGATTATAAAAGTGATCTCAGTTGCTTCTTGGGAGACTCTAAGTTGAATTAATCTTTCTGGACAGAAATTTGCCAGAATATGTCAAGAGTTCTAAAGGGGTTCACAGCATTTGGTCAAATAATTCTACTTCCTAAACATTATTTTAGGGAAACAAGTGTTAGGGTGGACTGAGTGACCAGAGGGAGAGCAAAGGCAGGGCCCTCACCATTGCAATGTAACAAAGAACTGAATACAGGAGGCTGGGAGCAAAGGAAGACGCGTCTAGCCCAGTGACCCAGTCGTCCTGAGTCTGGCTGGGTAAGGTGGCCAGGCATTCCAAACAGTGAGATAGTGCAGGGGGAAGCCCTCGAATGTCTGTGTGTATCGTCTTCACAAGCTGGGAAAAGAAAACCTTGAGACTGTGTATTCATCCCAACGTCTGGAAGGCAGAGAAAGGGAAGGGTCTATATTGCCCAAAGAAAAAGCCCCTAAGGTACCAGAAGGGGAAGAGGAAAAGCAACAGATTGAAAATGTATTTGAACAAATAATAAAGGAGAACTTCCCCAATCTGGCAAAGGAAATAGACTTCCAAGAAATCCAGGAAGCCCAGAGAGCCCCAAAGAAGTTGGACCCAAGAAGAAACACACCAAGGCACATCATAATTACATTAGCCAAGGTAAAAATGAAGGAGAGAATCCTAGAAGCAGCAAGAGATAAGGGGACAGTCACCTACAAAGGAGTTCCCATCAGACTCTCAGCTGATTTCTCAAAAGAGACCTTACAGGCAAGAAGGGGCTGGAAAGAAGTATTCCAAGTCATGAAAGGCAAGGACCTACATCCAAGATTGCTCTATCCAGCAAAGCTCTCATTTAGAATGGAAGGTCAGATAAAGTGCTTCTCAGATAAGGTCAAGTTAAAGGAGTTTATCATCACCAAGCCCTTATTTTATGAAATGTTAAAGGGACTTATCTAAGAAAAGAAGATATAGAAAAAACATGTATAGTAAAAGGACAGCAAACTCACAATTATTAACAACCACACCTAAAGCAAAACCAAAAGAAACTAAGCAAACAACTAGAACAGGAACAGAACCACAGAAATGGAGATCACATGGAGGGTTAGCAACAGGGGAGTGGGAGGAGGAGAGAGGGGGAAAAAGGTATAGAGAATAAATAGCATAGAATGTAGGTTGAAAATAGACAGGGGGAGGGTAAGAATAGTATGGGAAATGTAGAAGCTAAAGAAATTATAAGTATGACACATGGACACAACTAAAGGGGGGGATATGGGTGGGAGAGGGTGTACAGCATAGAGGGGAGTGAAGGGGGGAAAATGGGACAACTGTAATAGCATAATCAATAAAATGTATTAAAAAAAGCACCTAAAACAACTTTGGTTAATCATCTGCCCCCAGTCACATAGACAAAATGAACACAGGGGAGTCTGGAGCAAGATAAGGACTCGGGCTAACAGACCCCCATACATACCTATATTAGGGTAGTTATGTCCCCCTGGGAAAGCTGGCACCACCTTTACCCATCAATCAATATGTAACTCCTTGACCCCCACCCCACCAGCTACATTAAGTCCTCAGAACAAAGAGCTCATTCACTTTTGGCCACCCAGCTTCCAGCCACTTGACCTCTCGCCACCCAGCCCCTGGCCACCCCTGCTTTGCTTCCTATGAGAACTTAGCACTAATAAACTGTGCTTGCAGGCTAGTAGGCTCGCTGGTCTGTAATTCTTTACTATGTTGGCAAGAAGAACAGAGTTTCTGGGAGTTTGTCCCATAACACAAGGAAAGGTACATATAAAGATTTATGGCTAAGAATATTTATGAAATATTATTTAAGATAGTAAAAGATTAGAAAAATGCCCCTAAACATTTAGAAATAGGGTATTGGTTCAATTATAATAGTCATACAATAACTTATTCTAATTAAAAATCATGTTTTAAAGGTTTTCATTCCATTGAAATGTTTATAATACATAAGTGAAAAATGAGGTTAACAAATTGATCATATATTCTGAGTTATATTCTTAAAATATATATAAATACAAAATATTATGTATGCAGAGTATGTGTGAGTAGAAAACTGCTTGGCAGTGTAGCTTAAAAATCTTAAGTTATCTTCTAGTGAAGAGATTATAGGGATACTTTCACAGTCTTTTCAGATACATTATTTTGGACCATAAGATGCACCTAGGTTTTAGAGGAGAAAAGTAAAAAAAATTTTTTTGAAGCAAAATATGGTAAAATATTTAATAACATAAAAAACATAATATTTCACCAATATAAATATAAACAGAACTCAACAGCAGCATTGACAACCATTATTCCTCCCAAATTTGGGGGGGGGAGGGTGTCTTATAGTCCAAAAATACGGTACTTTATAATAATGTACATTACTGTATAAGCAGAAAAATGAACTATTTTAGAAAACATCTTTCCAGTATAAGAGAGAAAGCCAGCATCATTGTTTTCATCCATCTGCTTATACGCTAAGTTTGGCAAGTTTCATGTGAATACAAATCCTGGCTAGAAATCCAGAAAGACAAAGAATCAGTTGAAGGAACTAGGAATTTTTAACCTGGAGAGAAGGGGAAGGGGCTCCCGATACCTGAGGGTCTGCAGAGCAAGCAGCGTGCGCGCATTCCCTGCAGCACAGGCTGAGAGTCGGCAAGGCAGCAAGACTTCAGCTCAGTGTGAAAGAAACCTCCCAGCACTGGGGGCTGTACAAGAAACAGACACCATTGTCTCGGCACATAGGGAGCTCCTGACGAACGGATCAGACCTGCGTCGGGGCTGCTGTCTAGGACTCTTCGGGCTGCCAGGAAGGCTGCCCCAGTGACCTGGACTCTCCTCCCTGCACGGCTTCCCGCTTCCACAAGGCCAGGAGCTCTGTCCTTGCTGGGAGGCCCGGACAGGGCGACATGTGGACAGGACTGGGTGAGCCCCGCTGCACTCAGCTTCAGGGGCAGGGGTCCGAGCCAACGGACACCTTTAGACCAGTACCCACTCTCCCTTTGTGTCCCCTTGGCTAGCACCTCCCTGATGGCTATTGGAGCCCAGGACAGTCCACTCTTGTGACTGGAGGCACAGGAGCCGCTCACCCTACGAGTTCTGTGCTTTCGCCAAAGGCTCTCTCTCAAGGGCCCAGGGCAGGGACTGTTTGCCACGAGGTGTCGGGAACCACGAGGAGATATATCACTGGAGGAGACTCTCCAGGAGGATCTCTGAATGTGGACCGAAGGCTGCATTTGCAGGTGTGTTTCTGTCCTTTCTTTCCCAATAGCACTCCCACCGACGTGGGTTATTACTGTAACGAGAGGGCAGCAGTGCCAGAAACCCACCTGAACACTCCAGGGTGGTGTTCGGGGTGCCCAATAACTTGTCCGTGGAGGGCACTGACCACTCAGAACGGATGCTGGCCAGTTGGAACCAACCAGCAGGGTGGATGGGCCCATCCACTGACGTGTAAAGTTTACGCCTCCAAGCCTGGGATACTGCACTCTTTGTTGTCACACGACACTGGGAGGAGAGGGCTCGGGAGCTCAGCAATGTCTCCTAAGATTCCACGGACATGGCTGGTTTCCTCCATCCCTGGACCAGCAGCCGTGGCACCACAGGGAGCCCCTTAGAAATGCAGAATCTGCACCAGACCCACACCCGCCAACCCAGATTCTGTGCTGTAACTAGGCTCCCAGGTGACCTGCGGGCATGCCATAGCTTGGAAGCACCATGGAGATTCATATGAGGATAGAAAGCCTGTGATAGTTCATCTCCAGGCCTTTTCCCCAAAGTTGGAAATTACCCTTGGGATTCTTAGCTAGTAATTCATCTTGGCGTAGTTTGGGCGCGCCTTGTGACACGTGGCTCCCACCTGGTAGCCCAGCAGACCTCAGTCGCTGGCTCTAGCAAACGTACTCTGCTGCCACCACACTCACCCTTTCACTCCACTCAGTGAGGAACCAGCTCTTTGCACACGGTCCCATGTCACAGTTCTCAATGTCATTCGGCCGGAGCTTCATGTTGCATTCCTCGTCATCAACCACGTCCCCGAGGTTGCTCACACACTTCACGTCTCGGGTCCTCTGCCCCACCCCACAGGGCACCGAGCACTGGAAGACAGCAAGCTTCTGTGAGCAGGACGGGAAGCGCCAGCTTTGGCGACTCTCCAGTCACGGTACCCTCATTCCCGTGACCTGCCCCCAAACAGAGGCCTGGACAGACTCCCTGGGTGGCCATGTCCCCTGCACTGCGGTGCTCTCTGGGGAGGATCCCAGCCCTGAAGAGTTCACAACCCTTTTCCCTAAGACCTTCTTTGATGTCTTGCCTCCTTTGTTCATCTGAGCCTCAGTTCTGTCATCTACAAAACGGGAGAGAGGACTGGGAGGTGTTGGCTCTACAAGCATTTGCCAACCTTTCACTCCACAATGACAGGAGAGAGACGAGACCCTCTGCACATGGCCTCCAGGGGCTCCCTGCTAGAGTCGGCTGTGGTGATGCCTGCTAGCTTTAACTTTGTCGAGCTGCTGGTACATGCTATGGTTTACAAAAGCAGCATCCAGAACCCCATAGGACAGGTTCCCTCCTGGAGAACTCAGGGTGCTCCCAAGTCAGGTCATGGTGGGGGGAGGCAGGAGTGTGGCAGTGGGTCTTGGAGAGGAGCTTCTGAGCAGGCCCAACTCCCCACCCCTCGTACCGAAGTCCAGTCCGTGCGGATCTGCCACTCGCTGCAGATCTTGAGCTGGCAGGTACTGGTGGTCTCGGGCTTCTCCAGGTGCTGGCAGCGGTAGGGCTGCACGGTCAGGCTGCGGTTGGCGTACACCTGGCGGCACAGAACCTGGCGATGCTGCATGCCCAGGCCACAGGTTTTGCTGCACTCTGACCACTCCCCGATGTCCCAGCTGGCTCAGGAAGGAGAGAGTGACAGGGACAGATCACTTCAGTCAACAGGAAGAGGGCAGGAGCTCAGCTGACTTACACACAACCATCAGAATCCTTGTAGGTGACCCTTCTCCATGGGCATTGCTTACCAGTCTGCCTAAGGGCCACCGGACTCTATAAAGAAATTAACTTTGCTCGACATGCTATTTGCCAGTGAGTCTACACAATTTAAGAACATTGGGAAGGTACAAATAATTTTTATCTAGTAAAAAAATAAAAAACTCTGAAGCTTAGTTTCATGACCCTGTAGAAAATCTTAACCCACTTTGGAACTACCTTAGAAATCTTAGTCCAGTGTTGTTATTATTTTAGATTATTATTATATAATCTCAGATTTGTTGATCTCCTAGTTCTGGGCATTAAGGAACATTTTTCTGGTTTGAGTTGTAACCTTAGAACCGACAAGTTGAGAGACCCTGGCCTGGAGGGGACTTCTGACTTCTTAGCAGCTTGATTGGGACAGGTCTCAGCAGCGGCCTGGGGGTGGGCGGGGCCACGGCCGTGTGCTGGGTCCTGGGTCCTGGGTCCTGGGGGCCTGCATCTGCGGACCTGGGTCTTCTACTCACTGTGACCAGCGTTCTTTGTGTCTTGCTGTTCACACATTGGTTTCATGTTGCCTCCTCTGTCCCCTTGCTCTGCGATTTCATTTAGTGAGACATCAGCACATACTCATCACGTGTTTGGATGAGAATTATGTTTTTATTCTCTGAGAATTAAGTTTTGACCCTGTTTAGGGTCCTTTCATCTGTTCTTTTGAAAGTGTCCTATTTTATCATTCAACCAGCAGCCCAAGGCCTCTCCTGAGATGCTCTTCCCTGCCTCTGGGGCGACGTGGCGTGACTTTCATTACTCAGTCTGCACACTGCTCTCCTACCGTGCTGACCACACTGGATGGTGCTGGGTTGGCCAAAAAGTGCATATGTATTTTCCGTAAAATAAAAAAATGTATTTTTCATTTTTATCAGCAGCTTTATTGATTTGTATATTTGAGTATAAACTTGGTATAACATTGATTGTTCTCGATTCATGTCTGGATTTGATCACTATCAACTTCAGCTGGTCTTCCCAACGGTGGAACACTGTCCAGTGAGAAATCTCCAGCACGGAACTTCGCAAACCACTTTTGACACAGTCGATCAGTCACAGCACCTTCTCCACACACTGCCCAGGTCTTTTTTTGTATGTGTGTTTCAGTTGCATTTTTACCTTTCTTGAAATAATAAAGTACAACATGCTGAAAATGTTATGTATTTTCTTCCATTGCCATATTAAAATGGCTACACAAAAATTCACCAATTTCGATAAGTTTTTTTTTTAATGTACAGCTATCACAATACAATCTAACAAAATTGTTAGAGCCATCTTACGAAAAAAACCCAAATGGACTTTTTGGCCAACCCAATAATTCTTTGCTTCCCTGACCAAGCTAAACCCTAATTGTTCCAGTTAGGAACAATTTCCCAAAGGGTGGGCTCCCACGGAGTGCGCTGGTCTGCCAACGGCCCCGGGCTCCTGTGTCCATCCTGAAAGACAGGTGCTCTTGCTACACAGACTGCGTTTTATGCACAGGCCAACACTCGTGTTTCTAAATCAGATTTAGACTGATTTAAAAGTGAGATTTTATCCGCCACTAATGTCCTCTGCACAAGCGAGCAGAAGTGACCCGACAACAGGGGACAGAAAGGGACAGGCCGTCTTACAAGGCTGGGCAGGGGAAGAGGTTGCAGGGCTCCTCCTCAGGGGTCGGCTTCATGCTGGAGTCGCAGTAGCTCTCAGGAACCTCTTCGTGAGTGTTTCTGTGCACACAGCGAAAAATAGGGTGCTGCGATCCTGGAAGGACAAGGAGAACGTCTAAAGGACAGCCCCACACCCCCGAGTGGCGGTCTGTGGTGGAGACGCACAGACACCCAGATGCTGATGACGAGGCCACAGAAACAGACCGGTTCACACACAGCTCCCACACAAGGGCTCTGCTCTGCACTGGGGCGCAGGGGAGGGTAGAATAGTTCCCGCCCTCTAAGAGCTAATAGCTTATTTGTGGGCACGGCTTAAAAGTACTCAAAGGCAGATAAAGACAACTTTCAGAGCAGTTTAACATATCAGGACACAGGGGAAAGATTACAAAACAAGAACAAACAGTAACTTCACGAAGGTTTTTGTGGCGACACTGAAGAGAAAGGGCCCTAGAGGGCTCCAGCTGCAGCCTGCAGAAAGGGTGGGTTGGGAACCCGAGTTTTGAAGGGAGGGGGCTGTCCAAGTCGCTGAACCTGAACGAAAGTGCCCCACAAGCTGGTCTGCAAGTGCCAGGTGTGCTCACGAGGCAGTGAGGTTGGAGCAGAGAAATGAGAAGCCTCAAGGAGGGCTAGAAGAGCGGCTGGCTTCCACTTTGCAAAGCATTTTACACATTTCCCTAATAAGGTACTGATCCAGTGGTATTTTACTTATTTGAGTACACATGTGCACCCCGCAGGATGGTGAGCTCCTTAGGTCCAGGACTGGTTCTTGTTCATCTCTGCATCCCCGGTGCCTGGCAGAGTAGTGGGTGCTCAATAACAGTTCGTTGGATAAATACATATTAGAGGTCTAATATTTATTTTTATTACTTCACTAAAAAAATATGAACTGCCTCGGGTTTTTGTATTTTTTAACAAAATACACAGCTAGCCTTGGCCAAGTGGCTCAGTTGGTTGGAGTGTTGTCCCGTGCACCAAAAGGTTGCAGGTTTGATTCCCAGTCAGGGCACATGCCAAGGCTGTGGGTTTGATTTCTGGTTGGGGTATGTGTGGGAGGCAACTGATGTTTCTCTCTCACATCGATGTCTCTTTCTCTCTCTCTCTCCTCCTTCCTCTCTCTCTAAAGTCAATAAACATAGCTTTGGGTGAGGATAAAAAAACACACAGCCTAGTTTCATTGGATTAAAATAGATAAATCTATTTTGGAAAAAGAAATTTGTTAAGTGGAATTTCTAGCTCTTGAAACAACTCAAAACACAGCAGAGCCACAAGTCTGCCTTCTCTTTGCTACCTCCTGGTGGCAGCACTGAGGTATTACTAGGGGACATTTACAAAGTGAGAAATGGAACCCGCTGAACCTGCGACCCAACTGCTGGAAGAGTGAGACACTTCCTCTCAAAGAGCTGCCCACGCTCTGGTCTGGGCCCTTGCGCACTTCCTGCTCCGCAGAACACTGTCATTTATTCTACGGCTCTGGCTTAGCTCTGCTGCTAACCGGCCAGGCATATATAGTTTCTGAATTTCCAACTTTCTACAATTTTAATTGTAACTAGAGGAGTAACTTTTAATATGCCTCAAAATCTCATCAGCCATGAGCGGTGAGTGCTTCAGCGCTTCTTTAAGAGGATCTTGTGTGACGCTGAGCCAGAGGGTAGTTCCTGTAAGAAACTGGACAGTTTGTAAGACAGTTTTGGTCTGAAACACATTTGCTTAAAGTAGTCCGGCCAGTCAGAGAAAGACAAATACCATATGATCTCACTCATATGTGGGATCTAATGAACTAACGCAACTACCAAGGAAAACAGAGACAGGCTGTAGATGGAGAGCAGGCAGACAGCTCTGGCAGGGGGTGGGGAGGTGAGGGGTGGGGGACTGAGCAAAAGGAAAAAGGACCCATGGACACGGACAACAGTGTGGTGACTGTGGGGGCAGGGGGTTATAAGGGGATACATGGTGATGGAAAAAAACACAATAAAAAATAAAATTAAAAAAATAAAGTACTCTGGTAGTAAAAATTTACAATGTAGCTATAACTCGAGATCATTATTTAAAATAACGTTCCAATTAAGCATAGTTATTAGCTGAGTAAAAAGTAGTACTGACTGTAAAATTAATAGGAAGCAAAACTTTTGTGGAATTAAGTTTTGTCCAGAGACATATCTGCTTCCATTTAAGAAGAGCTCTTTAATTAAATTCAACCAACATTAAGCACATTGTTCTGAGTTAAAAGGTGAATAAGACTCAGTTTGTGGCTTGCAGGGTGCCCATTTGGGGCCCAGCTATTAAGGGATTAAGTAAAAATCTTGGTTTTTAAAGCCTATCCCTTTCTCTTCAGACCACATGGGTTTCACTTTTCTACTTACGAGTTTGTGGGTTGGAAAGCAACGGTAACTACCCTAACCACTTGGCATTCAAGTGAGAGGAAAATTTAGTATCTGCAGCCAGAAAAACACAGGTTAACATAGGAATGCTCTGTGTCTTGCAAAGATGGGCCCTGCTTGAGGCTGTTGTGCGCGGCCTCAACCGGCCCCCTCACCCCGCCCTCTCGCTGCCCTGCAGTGCACCGTTGTGGGCGCCAGCTCCAGTGTTTGGCCAAGGAGGGGAGGTCGGAGGCTCTCTTTCTTTCTCTGATGGTGAGAAAATACCAGATCTATAATTTCTGACTCCAGTGACCACAATGGTTTCTTTCTCTGGGTCAGTTTCGATTACTGCAGAAAGGGAGACACCTGGCCGTTCCTTCATTGTTCAAGCATGCTGTTTAATATTTCTGTAATTGCAAGCAAGCGGGAATAGGGTGGTGAGGGCAGGTGCTGGCTGGGCTCCAGGCAGCAGGAAGAGTCTGGGATCGGTCTGGTGGGTTACACGTCGGGTGTATGGGTCCAGACAGAGGCGCGCTGTGTTGGAGCATGGAACTGGCCCACAGGTAGAAGTCAGTGAGACATCATGGAGAGATGGACAAAATAAGAAGAAAATAAATAATTTCAGTCTTGGAACTCCAGGAATCAACCAACCAAGCCGAGTTTAACCAGACAGACAGAGGTCTTAGCAACGGCTGTATAGAGAACAGGCCACGCCAGCATGCCCGTGACAGGGCCCTTCTGTGGTGATGATGTCACCATTCTGGAAGCATTAACAGAAAGGGAAGTTTCAATGTGACAGGCAGAGAAATGTGTGGCCTGGTTAGTTCCACCAGGAAAGACCAGAGAGGAGTTTGGGAGAGGGTCAGTGTGGGCACAATGACAAGGTAACAGGGGAATGGACTTGGGTCTGGCAGAAAAGAGCTGGACAGCACTGGCAGACTCAGAATTTCTTGTCCCAGCACACCTGTCACCACTGCTGATGACTGTGAGATGGGCTAAATGTTTGGTGCATCCACACTGCCTCACCTGCCCCGCACCCCGACTGAGGCTTGTGGTGCTGGGGGGCAAAGAGGTGCGTCCATGGGCTACTGCCATTGGTCACACGGGAGAAAGCTGGGGCGGGGAGTAGGAGCGAATGGAGGGTTAGGGGAATAACACATCTCTCTCTCTCTATTTTGCTGTTGGCAGTGAGCAGGTCTTGAATTTATTTTGTAAACAAGACTTGCCCTATCTACCTTTTTATTGAGGAGGCTGAAAGCTGAGTCGGCTCCACTTCCAGGGCTCTACTTTCTTAGTCTCCACACGTCTCTGGTTCTGTCCTATTTCTAAGGTGCTTCTTCAGTGCCCTTCGGCCTGAGAACCGGTGCCATTTGTCAGAATGAGGAGGAGGATGGACATCTCATTTTAGGCATCAAGTGGCAGCTGTGAAGTTAGTGTGTGTGTGTGTGTGTCCACAATGCAAAGGAGAAACACTGTCTTAGAACATTAATGAAAATAATATGAAAATCTAGAGAAAATGTTTCTTCAGTTTTGAATACACAAATCCATATTCTTTATGCTAGTGCTAGGACGTGGGTAAAGGCAATAACAGACTTGCACATCCCAGATGTAATGAAGATGCAAACACTGCCCTTGTGTCTCCTCTCATAGCTGATACGTACCACATGTGAAATGTAGTGATGATACAGCCATTCATTCAAGAAGCACTTGAAGAGCACCTACTGTGTGTGTGTGGCAAGATGCCAGGTGCCGAGGTCGCAAGTGTACATCATTAAGACAGCAGGCCAGGCAGAGCCTCAGTTCAAAAGGAACTGTGTCCCATGCTGCTGAGGTCCCTGGGAAGAAGCGCCCACCTCTGCCTTGCAGAACCAGGAAGGGCTTCATGGAGGAGGTGGTGCCTGAGCTAGACGGTGGAGTGGAGGCAGGAGTGCGCCAGCCAGGTGCCAGAGAACAATATGGGAAGCGGGTTTTTGTTGCAGCATGGACCATAAAGACTGGAGCAGTGATGTGAAGGGTGCACTGACAAACAGCACCTGCTCCCATCCTCATCCCATTCTGTCCACAACGCCACACCTGGCGAGCTGCGGACAGGGCCGCACCTCACCTCGCCGGGAGGCCCGGGCCAGGCCATCTTTACAGACATGAAATGGAAGGGAGTCTTCTACACATGCCACCCTTGATATAAAACCACACGACAACCATTTTATGCTTTTATAGCTTCCCCAGTTTCCATCTGGTTCTCAGTGTATGTAGTTCCTTTAACGGGCGTGGCACCATAGCCTCAATGGCAGAACTCCTCAGCAATGACACAGTCCGACCTCGGGCTCCTATGTCAGGTAGGTTCCACACTGCGCACGGCCGTCGAGTCGTGGAAGAGCGTTGCTGAAATGATTTTGGCCTCAGTGTGTAATGACCTCTAGCTATCTGCCTTCCTTTGCTGGCTCTAATCGGTCTCTTTCCACTGCTGTAAATGGCAACCATGAGCACAGCAGCTTTTATGTCTCTTAAGTCCTTCTGGTGCATCGTCAAGCCCGAGGGTGGTCTTGGGGACCCCACAACACAACCTCCCACTCATGAGCCCTCTTGGGGCCAGGTTCATGGAGGGGAGGGTTTGCCGAGCCCCCAGGGCCACCTGCACGCCCCTCAAGGGGGTCTGCGGAGACCCTGCCCGCCCACGCGTGAGCTCACCTTTCCCACAGGTGGTGGAGCACTCTGTTGTGCCGAGCTGCTTCCAGTTGTGATCTCGGCTTCGTCGTGGGGGCTGCGGTGCTGGTGGCACCGCACTGTCTGGCCGGTGGGCAGAAAATCTGTCCGGGTGCCGCACTGGGAAGGTCTGCGCTGATTCAGAGGTGAATATTTCAGGGGCCCCACCGTGCAAGTCTTCCTTCCCCTCTGTCCTCTCCTTCCCTTCTCCCTGCTGCTCCGGGCTCCGCCCCTCTGCCAGTCGCTGGCCCTGGAAGGGCTCCCCTGGGGGAGGTGAGTGCGCACACACAGGTAAGTGCATTTTGGACAGTGAGTCACACGGAGGAAACTGCTTTGACATTAAAAATCAGGTAGCAGGAGATCCTTTCTAATTCAGAGCACATATATTTAAAATATGTAGATGCTAATTTCCCCCATGTTAAAAAACTATTAAAGACAAATAAGGAAAAGATGAACATTCCAGTAGGAAAAGTAAGCAAGGGCCAGAGAGAGGCAATTCACACAGAAAGGAACACAGGCAACAGAATCTTGTGAAAGTGCTCAGCTTCACTCATAACTCCAGAAGAGCAACGGCAAATCTACTTGCCTAACGGTGGAGATTGGACACTTTGGAAACCCCTAAATCATTAAGCTCCTTGCTGAAGGTGCCAGAGAAACACATTCTCATTCACTGTGGGTGAGTCTGTACAGAAGACATAAATTTTGGAGAGAAATTTGGCAATATCTATCCAAGCACATATTAGTTTCATACAAAATAAGGAGGCAAATTTTGGAGTCACTGTTGAATCCAGTTAAAACATAGGGCTTTCTCTGCCCCTCCACCGGTACTTTCTTATTTAGTTGGCTACTTACAATAACTCGTGGTTTAAAATACTATATGCAAATTAAGCCAAGAGAGCCAAGACCAGGCGTCCTGATACGAGGCCATCTGAGAGGCTGTCAGCCACAGACATGCAACAACCTGCTGAGCACTTTGTGTGCGCTGGGTGCTGGGACTGACACCTAATGATTCCCTCTCTTCCCTCTGCCCCTCTCAGACAAAACAAAACTAAATGAAATCTTTGAGTTCAGCTTTTTTTTTTGTTTTGTTTTGTGGACTCAGGATGTGTTCAGAGAACTTTCTGACTCGTCTGAGGAAGCACAGCAAGAAAGCGGCAGAGCTGGATGCAGGCTCTGTCCTCCTGACTCGGTTGACGTGGAGGGTGAAGCCTGGGCCAGAGCGCCCCTCCTCACCGGCTCTCTACAGCTGACCCTTTCTGGGCCTGCCCTGTCCGGGGCAGCTGATCCCAGACCCCATGCTACCTGTTAGGTGGAATCCATTAGGCTTGTCATCAATCGTCATTATCCTGTATCATTTCAAATAGTCTGTCCAATTGCCCCCATAAATCAGCCTCAGCCTCAGCATCTCAACAGCTTGCCATCTGGACTTGGTTCTCAGACTGTGTTATTGCTCCTGGAAATGGCTTAATAATTCGGTTGGGCTGGGTTTGCTGACTTGGAGTTTGAACAACACAAGTACCCCACTGTCGGATGTGCACCAGGCTGTCGTCTCCAGGCAGCCTGGGGGCTCTTCCCCGACCTGTGACAATCAGGTAATGTGGTTATCTGATTGGCAGTCCAGAGAAGGACTGATAGGCCAGGTCTGGCACCTGTCCCCTCACTTCCTAGGATAGGCATCGGGCCAGGTAGCCTCTGGGCAGTGTACCAAGCACAGGCTAGTCACGCAGGCTGGCCCAAGGTCGCTGTGGGATCAGGGCAAGAGCCTAATTCCTCTAAGCTCCCACTTCCTTACTTTAAACATGAGGCTGATAATAGCACCTCTGTCTGAGTGCTGTGGTGAAAATTCTGTGAGCCAACCAACAGGAAGGGTTTGGCAGTGTCCAACACACAGCTAGGGCTCAGCGGGTGTGAGCAATCATCACCATTGATATTTCTGCAGACCTTCTTGTTGGAAAGATAGAAAAGATGGCCTCCATTTGGGTGGATTCCATTATCGCTTGGTAAAAGAAATATCTGAAAGCCTGAGCGCTGAGCCATTCCCAGTGGCAGCCCGACAAAAGCTGCCCGCTCTGTCCATCAGCACAGCCCCCAGGGAACAGGTGTATCACTGGGTGTGAACTCAGTATTCCTTTTTGATAGGTCAACGTCATGTTCACAGAAGCCAAAAGGGGACTAAGAGGAAAAGCGCTGGCAGACAGACTGGTGGCCCTCAAAAGAAGTCTGTGTCCTAGTCCTTGGAACCAGAAATATGTCACCGTACGTAGCAAGGAGGACTTTGCAGAGGTGAGGAAGCTAAAGATTTTGAGATGGAGAGATTATCCTGGATATCTGAGTGGCCCAAATCAGGGTCCTTATGAGAAAGAGGCGGGAGGGCGAGAGTCAGAGACAGAAGTGTGGTGATGGAAGCAGAGGTCAGAGTCAGCGAGAGATGTGAGGGCACCACCCAGCTGGCCTTGGAGACGGAGAGAGGGGCCGTGCACCAAGGAGCGCAAGTGGCCCCTGGAAAAAGGCGAGGAAACGATTCTCTCCTGCAGCCTCTGCCAGGGGTGTGGCCCAGCAAGCCCACTGTGGACTTCTGGCCTTTAGAACTGTAAAACGGTAAATCCACCTTGGGTTGAGCCACTAAGCTTGAGCAGATTTGCTATGGCAGCAACAGGAAACTAATACAGGGCATTTCCATATGGGGAACTAGAAAGAAAAACCCAGGATATTCAATTCATTTTTTGAATCAAGTGAATGAAACACTTATCAGCGAAGGCTCAGGCCAATGGTGGAGCTTCCTCTGATATCTGGGCTCCTGACTCTGAAGTTCGTGCCCCTGGGTTTTCTCTGCTTTGGTTTAGAGACAGAGGGAGTCTGCACAGGAAGAAGACAGAGGAGGCTTTAAAAGGAAATGAGCCGAGGGCTTGGCAGTGAAACGAGGGACTTTACCTGGTCTCCTGTGAGGAGGCACCTGGGGGCTGATGGCGTTGGTCCCCATGATAACATACTCATAGTGGACTCCTGGGTTAGGCTGCTGGTGTATCATCTGACAACACAAAAGTCAGCGTCACTGCATTGGCACGCACGCACGTCCCTCTCCCCCCGGCTTGGGGTTCAGTGGTGTAAGTGGCATTATCTGTAAATCCATGGGTGAGTAATATTAGCGGGCCTGTGACAGATTAAATGAAAGCTATTTCCAGATGGCTTTTTGTCATTTGGTTTTGAATAATGAACAACTTAAAAGAAAACCAGGCTGAAAGTCAACGTTGCATACATTCCGATTAGGAAGATGGGAGCAGGGGGAGTGGGAGGTTTCTGCTGGCTCCAGACCATCCTGTACCGTGGCTTAGATTTTGTGCGATGCTCCTAAAATGTCCAAATAGATGCGTTCACACTACGGAGAACCCATTGGAACACTAGGTGGCGAGATAGAGTCGTGCAAAGGAGGGCACACCTCTGGCAGAGCCAGCCTGGGAGCCTTGAGGTTCTTTCGAAGTTTTTCTACCTGGCTGGCAAGGCTGGCCCAGGAAAGCTCTGCTCCAACCCTCTAACTCACTAACCCTGGGTCCCACCCCTTCTCATCCATGGAAAGCTCCAGAGCCACAATGAGATGCAGTCAGAAAACCAGGTAATCCAGGAAGAAACTCTCCCTGGGTCCCACTCTTTTAGGAACCAATGACAAAAGCGGGAAGTTGCACATGGCTGTGAAGTCAGCAATGAAAACTGTCTGGGGCAAATAGACCAAACCAGTCATCGTGGGCCGGCAGAACAGATCCCTCCAGACTGGTTCTGGAGCACAGAGGCCTGCAGCTTCCCTGGTGGGCAGTGAGGCGATGGGCCCCGTAAAGCAGCAGACGTCAATAGACAGAGTGGGTGTGAGCCACGCAAGGAGACGCGGCCGCATTCTGACGCTCCTGTCTCTGCTGCTTCACACAGGGGCTCTCCTGCTGACCAGCTGTGTGACTTAGAACAAGTCTCTTAATCGCAGCTTTTTGTTTCCTCATCTGGAGAAGAAGGAAGTTAGAATCACAGCGGATCTCTTAAGTCCTTTTAGCTACAAACATCTCTGAGCGACTCCTGCATGGGTGGGTCCGGTTTGGTTGCTGAGTGTGTGTCTGTTCCGTCCGTTCACACCATCATCTCTGCATGTGCAATGGGGCCTGCGCTCCATAAGTCACCCGGCGTCAGGAAGGCAGACGTGAGAACCGCTGAGCTTCTTATACTCAGCAACAATGGTGCTGAGCACAGAACCCCGAAACCGACGGAGGTGCGACCTACGTTTCCTGCCGTCTACCCCTCATCCCCTCTCTTCTCCTTTCACATAATTCGACAGTTGGTCTGAGGTTGGAAACCCTCTCTCCCTCTTCCGTGCCTCTTCTGCGTGAGCATTCTGCCAGTACAAACCTTGTCCCATTTATAAAATTATTGTTGGCCACCACATCCTAGGCCACCCACAGCGGGTCTTTAACAATTTGGGTTTTTTTTTTAATCACTGGTGCTGTTCGAAACCTACTCAGAGTCCAGTGACCCACTGGATTATGTAAAAATAATATTCCAAATGAACTATAATAAGCCTTTCTTTATAGTTTCTAGTCCATGAGCCACTAGGCCCAAGAGGAACAAACATGTAGCGGGACAGCTGAAGGAGTAGTATTTATAGACAGCTCCGACACGGCACACATTGCGTGCTGGCTTTGGAGGTGGTGAGAGCATGCGTATCTATAAGTCAGCCTATTTTTTTTATCATAAAAACCCAATTTCAAGCTTTTATTTCATGTCACCTTTTATTTCCTGATGTTTTTGAGAAGACTGAATTCTAGTGGTTTCTTTTAAAAATAAGGGCAGTTTTTTAACTCCATGCAACTTAATAATTTAGTTTTGTGTTAAATACGTGGAAGTCCTGTCTTCTGCGAGGCAGGGGCCACCCAGTGCCCCTCTGTGCTGTCCCTGGGAGCTCCACTGGGCCATCCGGAGTCCTCTGCGATCCTCCTGTCCTCGTTCGCTTAAAGAGAGTTCGAAGAGGGCTGGGAACTGTGAGAGTCTTGTCTTGCTTTAGGCATTTGCTTTCTTTTGCCATGAAAAGAAAACATGCCAAATTAGCATTAGGAGGAAAGTGCCTGGAGGAGATCCAATGCTCATGAAATAAAGGATACATTTTGACTCTGATTTGGTTCAACAAGTAAAATTGGTTTTACTGGGTCAATAAACTCTGAGGGCTGTAAGCATCTGGTAGAGTTTAAGGTTTCTGTGATCCCGGCGCAGTCAGGGCGAGTGGTGAGGATGAGGCTGAGCTTTAAGGGCACGTCCACCAGCTCTGCTCAGACGGTCTTACTGAGCGTGGGTGACGGTGTGTTGCTTATTTGTTTTAAGTGTGGCTCTTAAAAGTAACGAGACACAAAACCCAGAGGGCAGCCCAGAAACATCAAAACTCACATAGACATCCAAGATCTCATTAGTGGGACCTTCGGCCAGAAAGGACTCGCCCGCAGTGCTTGAAATCTCATTTGGACGCTTGTAGGTGAACATGGTCCCTCCGCCCTCGTATTTTCCGGGCCGGTCAATTGCCCAGTTCCCGTTGATGATGGAGCGGCCAGAGCGACTTCGCAAGGCTGTTAAGAAAAATGAGATAGTTTCTCAGGTAAGCCCGGGGTGTACACAAGAAACTGAACTATCCTACCCCCAACCCCCAGGTACTGGCTGTTGATTCATCAAATTTTTCATTAGGATCCACTGTGTGCCAGGCACTGATCTAGGCCCTGGGACAGGCTGAGGTGTCTGGATCACATCCCTTGGTGCTTCGTCATCTCTTCAACCCACTCTGAACCCTTCACCCTAGAAATGAAGGGTGAGAGTGGTTAGGTGAGGGGAAACTTATGTCCCATTATCCAGGTGAGAGGGTGCACATTGCCAGCTCAGCAGGAGATTTTGGCCCACAGATGGGCTTAGTTTGGACTTCATATTGTTTCTTTAAAAATATAGTTGAACTTAAATTTAAGAATTGGGAGGTTTCACATAAAAAAAATTAGCATTCTAGCTTGTCTTGTCAAATAAGAAGACATGTTAACATTGCCTCCATTCTCTCAAAGCAGCTGTGAGGATTGTCCCTGCCTGCTCTGGTTTGCCCTAATCCCCACCACTCCCTAATATTCCCCAACATGGAGGCTAAGACTCAGTTTATTACCCATTTATTAATGAATACGAATTATTTATTCCATTTGTGATCATGCTGCATTGCTATATTTCTTATAGAAATGCATTTTTCTTATAATTTTTCTACTTGTATGTTCCCTAAAAGTGGCAAAGCTAAATATAGGCCAAGAGGTTTCACGTGATTTTCTCCTACTGGGCCCGCTTCATTCATTTCTATCACCTCCCTGAGTTCTGTGGGCCTTCAAGGCTGAGAGCCATGTTAGATACCTCCACACACAGTCTCAAAATTAATTCTTACAGCATTGCCGAGCAGACGCAGAACCCGATCTTTCAGAGACTGGCTCACGGGCCAGAGGGAACTGTTCAAGTTCAGGAAGGTGGTAAGTGACAGATCCATGATTTGGAGTCCAAACTCACAAGGCAGATGAGAAAAGAGGAGGGGCAAGAAACAGGAGTTAGGGTTAACGAGAGAAAAAAGAACAGCATGTGAGAGCTGACTTTTCTCCCTCGGACTTGTGATGCCTTGAAGCCCACGAGCCAAAGGCAGAATGAAGGCAATCCTGTTGGAAGGGCCATGTAAACGGTGGGCCCTGGGTGATCACTGGCTCATTGAGCTTTCACTTTACAGCATTCCTAAATTGAATTTTTTACAACATGTTATGAAAAAAATGTGTACATAAATTATTGAGAACAATATAATAAACCTCCAGGCACCCATTTCCCATTGTCAGCAATAATCAGCTCAGGACTTCTGGCCAAGATGGAGGCATAAGTAGACACACAGTGCCTCCTCATACAATCAAAAGAAAAACAACACATTTAAAAACAAAAAACAACCAGAGCTGACAGAAAATTGAACTGTATGGAAGTCTGACAACCAAGGAGTTAAAGAAGAAACATTCATCCACACCAGTAGGAGGGGTGGAGACAGGCAGCCAGGGTGGAAAGGACTCGTGGTAAGGCAGGGGCTGGAGGACCAGAGTGGGTGGTCCCACATTTGCATGCAGATAAACCGGGAGAAACAACTGGAGAGCGAGACAACCCAGGGTTCCAGTGCGGGGAAATGAAGCCTCAAAACCTCTGACTGAAAAAACCTGTGAGAGTTGGAGCGGCAGCTGGATAAACTCCCAGCCTCACAGGAGAGTTTGTTGGAGAGACCCACAGGGTTCTAGACTGTACTCAAACCCACCCACCTAGGAATCAGCACCAGAAGAACCCAATTTGATTGTGGGAAGCAGAGGAAGTCACTGGAAGCCGGCTGATGGCTGAGCAAGCAGCTTTGTTTCCTCTCAGACCCCTCCCCCACTGACAGTGTCACAACGCAGCAACGTGGGTTGGCCCACGTTGAACACCTAAGGCTCTGCCCCTTACTATGAAACAGGGGCACTGAGACCAAAAAAAAAGGCTGAAATGAAAGAACAGATCAAAGCTCCAGAAAAAATACAACTAAGCGACGAAGAGATAGCCAACCTATCAGATGCACAGTTCAAAATGCTGGTAATCAGGAAGCTCACAGAATTGGTTGAGTATGGCTGCAAAATTGAGGAAAAAGTGAAGGCTATGAAAAGTGAAATAAAGGAAAATGTACAGGGAACCAACTGTGAAGGGAAGGAAACTGGGACTCAAATCAACAGTTTGGAGCAGAAGAAAGAAAGAAATATTCAAACAGGACAGAATGAAGAAACAAAAATTCAAAAAAATGAGGAGAAGCTTAGGAACCTCCAGGACAACTTTAAATGTTCCAACATCTGAGTCATAGGGGTGCCAGAAGGAGAAGAGGAAGAGCAAGACATTGAAAACTTATTTGAAAACATAATGAAGGAGAACTTCCCCAATCTGGCAAAGGAAATAGACTTTCAGGAAGTCCAGGAAGCTCAGAGAGTTCCAAACAAGTTGGACCCAAGGAGGAACACACCAAGGCACATCATAATTACATTAGCCAAGATTAGAGGTAAGGAGAGAATCTGAAAAGCATCAAGAGAAAAGGAGACAGTTACCTACAAAGGAGTGCCCATAAGACTATCAGCTGATTTCTCAAAAGAAGTCTCACAGGCAAGGAGGGGCTGGAAAGAAGTATTTGAAGTCATGAAAGGCAAGGACCTACATCCAAGATGACTCTATCCAGGAAAGCTATCATTTAGAATGGAAGAGCAGATAAAGTGCTTCCCAGATAAGGCCAAGTTAAAGGACTTCATCATCATCCAGCCCTTATAATGAAATGTTTAAGAGACTTATCTAAGAAAAAGAAGATAAAAAATATGAACAGTAAAATGACAACAAACACAATTATTAGCAACCGAACCTAAAAAGTAACAAAAACAAAAACAAACTAAGTGAATAACTGGAACAGGAACAGAATCACAGAAATGGCGATCACATGGAGGGTTATCAGTGGGGGAGTGGAAGGGGGATAAAGGGGGAAAGGTACAGGGAATCAGTAGCATAAATGGTAAGAAGAAAATAGACAGGGGGAGGTTAAGAATAGTATAGGAAATGTAGAAGCCAGAGAATTCATATGTATGACCCATGGACATGAACTAAAGAGGGGGAATGTGGGTGGAATGGGGTCTGCAGGGAAGAGGGGAATAAAGGGGGAGAAATGGACAACTGTGATAGCATAATCAATAAAATATATTTAAAAAAATAATAATGAACTCATGGCTTATCTTGTTTCACTTTGCAAACCTCGGACTCCATTTACCCTTACGCTTTTCAGTAGGTGTCTCTAAAACATATGGGCTTTTTGTTTCTTAACCCAATTTTCAGCAGTGATTCTACAGTGGGCCTTCCCAGGCCTGAAGAGTTGGAGGCTGCTTAACCGGGTGGAAGAGCCTCCAATTTCCATGCAGTGTCCCCTGCAGACTCTGCCCCTGGCCGGCTGGTTGCCATGGCTACCAAGAGACCACAGCTATGGAACACAGAATCCAAATTATAAAATCAGTTCGGCTTATTGAGTGGCAAAGAAGGCTCAAGAGTAGAGACTGAGGAGCGGCAAGTTTGGGCTGTTTTCTATCAAAACCATACTTCTTGAGAGTGGTCCGTATAGTGTTTCCATTTCCTCATTTCCCATTCATTTCTCAACCATCTCTGTTTGATTTCTGGCCCCCACCCCCCGCCACTTATTCCATGGAAACAGTTCACACCACCAAGACCGCCACATTGCTAAGTCCAACAGACACTTTCCCGGCCTCCTCTTACTGGGCATCATCTCAGCAGTGTTTGGCACTGCTGACCATTGCCCTGGCTCCTGGGATGCCACACTGGCTGGGTCTCCACCTGCACTCAGCTGGGTCTCCGCCTGCTCTCAGGCTTCCGTTTTTCCTTTCTCTCTCATATTTCTCTACTCAGCAATTAATGTTAGCATTCTTTAGGGATTGTGAGTAAATGTCATTTAGGTGCTGTGCTCCTCTCTTGGGCCATTTTGCCTATGTCCATAGCTTTAATTACTGTACTCAGTGAGCTCCAAACTTATGTTTCCAACCCAGACTTTTCCTCTGATCCCAGGCTTTTGTATCCAATTGCCTACTTGACCGCTTCACTCAGATGTGTTGCCTCAGACGGACCTCATCCTTGACTCTTCCAGTGTTTCCTATTTCAGTCAGTGGCACCCCATCTAATTAGAACCCTGGATCATCCCAGCCACTGCCTCCTCTCCTTAGCATCTACATCCAATCCATCATCAAATTTTATTTGACTTCTTCCGTATTTCTTGAACCCATGTACTTTTCTTCATGTCCACTGCCGCAAGTGGGGGCCAAGCCCCCATCAGAGCTTATCCACGTTAACTCAAGAACAGCGGGGCCTTCTACTTGGTCTTCTTGTTTCCTCCCTTTTCAGCCAGAGCAGTCTTTTCAGAATGCAGATTTGATCACCGGCTACAGTTTAGAATCCTTTGGTGGCTTTCTATTTACCTAGAGGAAACCCCTCAACCATTAACGGGGCCGGGGCCCTAGGTGACGTGGTCCAGCCTCACGTGGAGCCACTGTCCTTCTCCCTGTGCCCTGCTCACTGGCCTTCTTCTGGCTCACCTGTCATGTCCCATTCCCTCCAGTATGCTGAGCTTCTTCAGAAATGCTTCCCCTAGCCCCCAATCCTATTTGTTCTTTTTCTTTTTTTTTTAAATTGAATTTACTGGAGTGACATTGGTTAATAAAATTACATAGGTTTCGGGAATACAATTCTATAACACACCATCTGTATATTGTACTGTGTGTTCACCACCCCAAACCAAGTCTCCTTCCACTGTGTATCTCCCCTTTATCTTCTGCCTCCATCAACCCCTTTTTCCCTCTGGTATTTATCGTACTGTTGTCTGTGTCTACGACTTTTTTTGCTTAATCCCTTCACCTTTTTTTTCATAGTGCCCCCCTCCCCTCCCCTCTGACAGCTGTCAGTCTGTTCTCTGTATCTATGAGTCTGCTTCTATTTTGTTTGTTAATTTCTATTGTTCATTAGACTC